CATAGGCATATTTTTTCATGTAGTGCCTGTCTTCTGGTTTTAATGATAATCTTTGACTCATTCTCAGCGCACTGTTAGATCTCAAAGTGCCCAGGAAATGGGAAGCCTGTTATTGTTACTAGTATTTTACAAATGAGGAAACTGAGAATTGAAAATTGCGTGAATTGCCTAAAGTCTCTCAGGAAACCCATGTCAGTAGTAGCAACTGAACTGCATCTACTATATAGCAATTTTTCTCACAGTCCTTGACGTGACTGTGATATTTCCACACCTGTAGTTCTGACTATCTGGAATCACTTGACTAGTAAGATACAGGGGTTGAATCTAGTACGCAAGTATTTGGAAATACATGAATATAAGGACAAAAATCTAGAAATCAAAATTTTGTTGGAAGACTACTTTGCTCAAATACTGCATTTTAACCATTTGCTAATGATTTAAATAATTCTTTTTATATGTCTCTCATATTTGTTCTACACAAATAGTGCCAGCCATTCTGAACAAAGCCATTCCATCAGCTACACGGACTGTTGATGAAGGTCTTAATACTTGCCATACGCTAGCCCACCAGTACACAGCTCTGTTGGAATCCATGCAGGAAGACCAACACAGATACAGGCAGCTTAGTTCTTTTAAATTAAAAGAAGCACTGTTCAATGTGAGACAATATGAGGCCTTCCTTTGTATCCTTCTGGTGAGACACCATTGTGTTATATCCTGTGGGTTTTTATTGCAGAGGGAATGTATTCAAGTTGCCTACTTGTGTAGGACAGAAATATAGGAAAAATTATTCAGAAATAAATGAAATAAAATTTATCTCTATATATAGATATATCCCTTCTAGCAGCCTTCCAGTACCTAACGGAGGCCTACAGGAAAGCTGGAGAGGGACTTTTTATAAGGGCATGTGGTGATAGGACAAGGGGTAATGGCTTTAAACTGAAAGAGGGGAGATTTTGATTAGTTCTAAGGAAGAAATCCTTCGCTCTGAGGGTGGTGAGGCTCTGGAACAAGTTGCCCAGAGAAGTTGTGGGTGCCCCATCCCTGGAAGTGTTCAAGGCCAGGTCGGATAACCTTCAAGCAATCTGATGTAGGTGTCCCTGCCCATGGCAAGGGGTTTGGAACTAGATGGTCTTTAAGTTCCCTTCCAACCCAAACCATTCTATGACTCTACATGAGAACCAGCATCATCTGTCATACTGAACTTTGTACCTAACTTGCTGGGTTTGGCTACTGTCAGGTGAAAGACAAAATGGATTAATTGTTTGCTGAAGTATGACTGTGCTTCCACTTAATTTCTGGAGGTTTCCTTATTTTGGTTTAATATCATTAACAAAGGACTTAAAAAAGTAGGACTTTTCTCTTGTTTGCACACTGATACTCACTCTGCCTCAAAGGTGTGAGAGAAAAATTCTCCTTGTTCAATCCATAAATCACCTCAATCTCAGTCTGCAGACATTCCCAACACATATGGAGTCATCAGAAGTCTTTGAAGAATACAATTTAAATTCTTGAAACTTGATTTGTTTATGAAGACCTTTTCATTTGTCTTTTGAGAAACTGTAGATTTTTATTAGTCTTTCCTGTATATCGTAAAGCTTGGAAAATACTTCTTTTATTTTTTTTTCAGTACTCATCATTGTAAAAATGTAGAGGCTTTCTATTAAAATTACTAATATATTTTTGAGAGAAGCACCTGGTTTTATACCTGAACACTTAAGGAAAAATGTATTTTGCTGGAAGTTAGGGTGCATTTCATTCCTTAAAATTGTTGTCTGAAAATAGTTGAATGAAGAGATCTAAGTAAATACTTATGGCTATATACTCGATTTTTCGACTGTCATACTTCTTACCTAAAGTTCTCTTTCCAGTCTGACGCAATTACAAGTGCTCAAGAAGTTGAAAAGATGAGTGTGCAGTTTGCAGCAACAATGGAGCAGCTGAAAAACACGGTGCAGAATAAGGTTTCCGTAGATACCAAAGAAGTTTTTGTAAGTATTTTCAGTGGAAAACCTATTTCTTCTTACTTATAAAAAATTACTAAAGTATTACAAAATACTTCACCAGTGTATTTTTGCATAGTTTTGTTAAGAAAAAGGCTACATTATTCTCTATTATAAGAGCATCTGTGATTTTCAAAGGGGCAACTAAACTAAAAGACTTGATCTCACAATAAAAGAAAAGCAAGGTACAAAAAAGGGGAGTAGGAATTAAATGGTAGTTTGCTGTAAGTGTCTTGAGTCATCTGTCAGTATTTGTAGATTTACAGTGATATTTTCCTGTGTAAATATGGTTTGTGTAAATACCATTTAAAAACTGTAGGATAAAGCCTATGTATGTTGTAAACATTTGTTTTAGGAGTCATAGTAGATTTCAATAATATTCTTTGTTTATTCTAGTAAGAATGATTTTGATCTTTCTGCTTTTCCTTTAGTTTCTTATATTTTTGTAATCATAACATTTCCACAGTGTTAGTGATACAGATGAATTCCAGAGCTGACTCCATTGGCTGTTCCTATACTAATGTTGTTAACATGCATAACGTATAATATTGTTAGCATACATTTCAGATTTGTTGAATCTCTTCCCGTAAACACTCTGTTTAGATGTAACAGGGCACGTTTTATGCCACTGTCGTTGAAATCAGCATTTATACTCAAAGCTCGTAAGCTTCTTCTGTAGGTGCATACACCTGTATGTCAGCATCACTGCTGGGAATGGCAGCTTCCAGTTTTGTCCTCAACTCCGTACCACTCCGAAGAGGCTTACACACCCTTAATTTAACACACATGGTCGCTTGCGGGCTGTGGTATCAAGTCACTCTGGAAGCAGGGCAGACAAAATAACAAAGTCTGATCGTTTGTACATATAGGTGTGGTTTTACTTCATTTGGTAGTTAAACAGGTGCACATCTTCTGGTTATTCCTGTTCCGGTACTCCTTATTTTCAGTTTTCAAACTGTATTGTCAGTGAAGCACTCAATTCCAAGCCTGGTCTCAAAGTAACGTATTTGGGATAAATACTTATTGGCTTTGGAGTAAAATGTCAAAAAGTACCATTCTGGCCTATGGGCCTACACGCTGGACATACGTGCTTTGGGCATACGTGATGGCAGCTGCTCTTACAAAGCCCCAGAGTTCCCCTGGAATTTCCAGGTGCTGAAGGCCTTGGAGGTCAGCCCCGCTTTGTTCATAGCAGGGATTGCTGTGCACAGCACTTGGGTTATGCTGCAGACATAAAACAAATCTGGATTTCAGATAATTTTCTTTATTTTCTAGCCTCTATTTGTTGCACTTTCTAACCTCTGGACCGGCTTTCAGGATGAGATACTACTGCTAAGCTTCCTCACAAACATAACTAACAGTCTGCAACAGTTCTCGGAAATCCAATCACAGCTTTTTCCTGAGGAAGTGCTAACAACTCTTCTGGAAGGAGTGACTGTGAAAAGTGATGAGGAAAGGATAAGAGAAACCATGGGTACTGAAAGTTATTACTTTTTGTTTTCCATCATTTTCCAAGATTTTGTGGTTTGGATTTTATTTACAGAAGGTGCTACACATTGGTTTTTTAATAAGCAGAATTTGAACCGTAAATTAAAATTAGTCTTTTAGTGTGTGTGGCTTTATTTTTCACGTAGTGTAGTTTGGGGTTTTATTTTTATATACAAAATCAAAATACAGCAACTAGATTCAAACATACCATATCAAAATGGCAGATCGATCTGAGAATAATTTTCTACTTTTTTTTGGACATTTCTTTATTTCATTTATGTCTTTTTATACCTTTCAGAACTTCTGAAGTGAAGAGAGGAATAAAAAAACTAATTTAATGGGGCTTTGGTTACCAGAAGTGTTTGTTTGTGAGATGGTACCCCTAGTAACCAAGTTACCAAATCCAGGGGATTTGTAATGTGTGAGTGGGTGAAAACAAAATAGAAGAATAAGATGTTACCTTCCTGTTGTTGCCCGTTTCCAGAGAAGACTAATGCTACTGAAGAAGGCTCCTGCAGGACTGCTTTTTCAGGAGGATATCTCTTAAGGCATCTTAAGTCTGACTTTTGGGATCTTGGCACTGCAGGCCATCCTGTGAAGACCAGAGTAATCCAGTCATCCTGTAACATTATTATATTTTAAACACTGATGTTTTGTTACTGAAATCCTTCCTTTGTTAAACCTTCTCTTAGGAACCAGAGTGAATGTTTCTGATTTCAAGAACCAAGAATGGCTTTTTCCAGAAACTACTGGAAATTTTGATGAGTTGCTAATCCAGTACCATGGTTTCTGTGCACATGCAATTGGTGTGAAAGGCCTCACCCTCCCAGGTATGCTTTGTAGTTAGGTCTTTTCCTTACTTGGTATGTACACAAGGACTAGGGATAATGTAAAGCTGTGTTCTGGATGCATCCTCTAATGCCAAATCTGGAGTACTGTATATTCATGTTGGTAATTTTCACCCCAGATAACTAACTTCCCCTGTTAAAGTATTTTTCTTTTGAAAATATGCAAATAAGCTGCCCTAAATAGAAGGTAGGAGAGCTTCAAGAGAAAGTAGGCACAAGCAAGCAGAGGCAGAAACAAGATGGGATAGATAAATGTTTCCTTCTGCTATAAGTGCATCTGTATGACCTACACTGCAGCTGAATACAGGTTTGTTTATTGTTGTTAATGTGTTTTAATACAGACACAGGAAAATGGTCATTCCTTCTATTTTGTGTACCTGTCTGTTGCAAACACACCCCTTCATGCCTACATCATATGTATTGTTAAACACTGAATATAAAGTACCAAAAAAAATTCCTCTGAAAAGAATCCAAAGGGCACTTGATTAAGTGAATTAATCATAGGATTTTTTTTTTTTTGTGTCTTCTAGGGTCATTTGTCTTGAAAGCAAGCCTTATTTCAGCTATCCCAACAGTTCGTGTTTTCTGTCTCCCTATCCTTTACAGAACCTATCCATATAGAATTTTTTTAAACCTACGGGAGGTTGAAAGGAAAATATTGTCAATACTTGGCAGTATTAAAAAACAGATATTTTAACAGCAATGTAAATTACTTACACTTATTTAGTATTGCATATGAGAACAACTGTCCTGGGTTGGACTGAAGATTTTTTTAGCCCTGTATCCAATTTCTAGATGTGGACAGTCATGAACACGTGAAGAGCATGAGAAATCAAGTAGAAATGATCCTTCCTTAATTATATCCTTCCCTGTTCTAGCAGTCAGTGGTTATGGGATTTCCTCAGATAAATGTTGTTGTCTGTACCCTTCTGTTGAATAATCCTTGATAGAGGTTTTTCGTTTCTCTAATTGCTTTTTGAATCCATTGAGAGTTTGCCATGGGAGATTCTTATTGTCATGAGTCTCAAAACCGTAATTGTATATACCATGAAAAGGAGCCTCTTTTTGAGATGGTTTTGAGCTCTGATTGATAATTTCATCAAAGACGTGATAGTCTTTCTATTAGGAAAATCAGCAAATAGTAATTTTATATTGCATACAATTCATGGGTTTATAACCCTGTGTCATATTATTTCTCTTCAGTTCCATCTTTTTAAGGCTGAAGAGGCCTCTTTCTTTAACCTTTCCTTCTGTGAAAGGTATTCCAAGCCTCTGATCACTCCCAACTCCCTTAATTTTATTTTTGCTTATACTGTTGATTTGGAACAAAATGTAGTATTGCAAGTGTAGCATATAGGTACTTATAATGGTGGTTTCCTTCTCCCCCTCTGTTGGCATCCTAATAATTCCTGACATTCTTTTTGCTTTTTTGCTTGTCACTGAGTTTTGTTTTTGTTTTTTTTTTAGGAAATCCTGCTATTGGAATTTTGAAGCACAAGGAGAAATATTATGTTTTCAGTTCCAAAGAAGCTGCGTACATCTTTGCTCAAGATCCAGATAAGTTCATTCAACTGAATGTAGAAAGAGCAAAAGAACATGCAGAGCTAATTCAACTGCTCGAACTTTGTCATCAGTTTGAATACCTTGATCTGTATGCACAGGTACACGTGGCCCATGTCTCTTGCTGAACAGCTGTTGGGTCACTGGTTGTTCTGTCCTTTCTAGAATATAAAGAGAACAGACGATACCCATCTTTAGAAAAGAAGTATAATCATCTGCCTATCATACAGAATGTCTGAAGATCCATCTTTTCCAGGTCTTCAGGGTGTTACTGAGAAACATTTTCCCTTAATGTTGTTCTCAACTTATCTCTTCACAGGGGAATATGTAAAACCAAAGGATTGTGGCAGCGATAAAAGTTGTTCATCCTTAGCCTAGGAAGATCCTGTGTCTGACGTTTCTTATTCTCATTTTTGCAAAAGTAGCTTAAAGGGACAGTAAATAAATGCAATAGAAGATAAGCCAGATGCCGTATTAACTGGAGCTTTAACTCAGCAGTTCGTCAGTATGCGTTGGATGAGAGTGTAGTGATATTTGGGGACAGGAATTATGGAATATATTACAAAATCAAATGGAATTTGTTAATAATGAATGCGACAGTGCTACCATGCGAAAGCCAAAGACTCGATTTGGATTCATAGACATTCTCTGTGACAGATTGTGAATTCTAGGTCCCTAGCAATGCAAAGTATGTAGTCTTGAACTGGCCCTTGGCGAGAAAGATATGGTTTATGTCCCAGCTCTGGCAGAGATGTAAGCACTTCTCCTAATTATGATTTGTGATTTTTAGTCCATTCATAAAGATAAACTAAGGTGCCTGCATCATAAAATACTGCTGGTGGTGGTGGTATCCCCTTATTTCAAAATCCAATGATTAAAGCACTCACTTGGAATGTGGGAGTCTGAAATTCAGCTGTGGCCTCTGCCTAAAGGGTTTTCTGTCAGAAACTAAATCCATCAAATACTTAAAAGTTTCTTCTTTTTTAGCAGGGGCAGGGGGAACAAAAATATTTTTAATGTAAAAATCATTATCCACTTGCAGTTTGCAGGTTTTTATTTGGTTTTAAAAACCAGCATATCCATATACTGCTTTTCTTAGATGACTGTATTCTTCTCATTAATGCCTTGCTTGGTTTTGTGGTTTGTTTTTTTTTTTTTTCCATCCAGGATGGAAATGCAGACAAATGTTTGATGAAACCAACCACAAAATGTGACAGTAGTACTCAAACTGATACCCATATCTTGCCTCCAACTATTGTGACATCTTATGAATGGAATGAATGGGAACTGAGAAGAAAAGCTATAAAATTGGTTTGTATTGTTATTACCAGATTTTCATTGTTGGCTAACAAAGTGCAGAATAAATTATTGTGGAGTTTTGTTCCTTGCAACATAAATCTAACCCTATTCAAAGACAGACACTTTTGTTACTACTGGCTTCATGGTTTTTTTTACAAGTATTTTCTCTCTGTATTTCTAGACTTTCTTATTCTCCCATTTCTTCCGTATTTTTCTCTATGTTTTTGAGCAGTGCTTTCACTGCCATGTCCATTCACTCCAAAGTTTTCATTTGCCTTCTGTAATTAATAAGAAATTGTTGATTAGCATTGAATTTTTAAGTGGTTTCTCTATGCTCAAATAAATTCAGCAGTTTGAAGGTATTGCTATATACTTTCTTTGTAAGAAAAAAAAAATTGCAGAAAAGTTTGAGTCAGACAAAACTTTACTGCAAATTGAGCAATTTATATTAATATTCGTCATCATCAAGTAAGAGGAGGAAAAAATGTAGTAACTGGCAGATAGAATGGTTAGGAATACCTTTGGCTGTGTTTGAACCTGCAGAAGCTTGCTTTCAGCTAACTTATCCATCCTTAAAAGGTATCAAAGCATGAAGCCTTTTCTTTTTTTGCCTTTTTTTTTTTGCATAATGAAATATTTTACATTTTATTCTGATTCTTCATGTTTGCTAAAACCAATTCTGCTTTTTTTTAAAAAAAAAAAATTCTCCCTCCTTCATGTAAGACCAATCTGGAGAGGTAGGAAACAGAGCAAGTAGGTTTTGTGTTGTATACATAATCCAGAGGAAATGTTTGTTATACTGTCATGATGATTTTCTGATGGATTGGAAATCAGTCTGTCCACAGAAGGTTAGCCACATACATAAAAGCTTTTAAAGTAACAGTATATATTTAAAAAGCTTCTTTCTATGGTTTGTCAGCACATGCAGTTGTCAAGGTGTAGCTCTTGATTTTCACGATTCAGTCAAAAGGAACTTGTGAGTACAGGGGATATTGCAGTTACCAATATCAGCTGAAAACAGAACACTGCAGACCTGATTTGTTTTTTTTTCTGCGAACAGATACCAATATCAGCTGAAAACAGAACACTGCAGAGCTGATTTTTTTTTTTCTGCGAACAGACGCACTATGGAGGTCTGTGGTCTGCTGTGCAGTCTGTTCCCTTTCTGTTGTTCTTTTTGCCATGAAATCTTCAACATTATAAAAGGAAACCAAAATTTTGGACTGAGAAGTCTTGCCAGTGTTAACTGGCTTATAAAGGATTCTAAGTAATAGTCAGTACTGAGGTCTATAAAGGAGCCAATTCAGTTTACAAGAGGCCTATCTAAACGCTTCCTTTGCTTCTGTAATGGACAAAAATAGGTAAATAAATGTAAGATGCGTTCAGTCAGCTGAGCATGAAGACCATTCACAAGCAAATTTGTAGCTCGTTAGTTTGAAATATTTAGAGAAAGCACTTTAAAGTACTAAGGGTGTTTTAGCCTGAACTGTCCACATGGGAAATTAGTGATGCTGAGTTGAAATAAAAAATCCCAGACATATGCATAAGTGTTTTGTCTACAGTGACTATGCCGAATTTATAATATGGGGGTGATACAAATTTAGAATTGAGTGCTAAAATAACAGAGATAGCTTACTAATGCATCTGTGCATTTGATACTTTTGGGAGCGCACTGGACATATTTGCAGGCTTTGTTAAGAGGCTGTTGGTTTGTTGGGGTTTTTTTCTGTTGTTCATACTTAGCCAGAAAACTTGTAGTGAGATGAAGTGTTAAAATATGACTTTGTTAGAAAACCTATTTGATGTTGGAAGTAAAATTTTTAGCTCACGTTTGTTTCTCTGTGCAGGAATGATTCTTTGCAATAGCATTCATTCAGTTCTTAAGAGGGACAAACTGAACAGGGAAACAGGATCTCACATCTACTCTTGTTTTAATTGTCAGTAAAACCCTCAAAAAAAAAAAAAAAAAGACTAAAATACAGTCTTTTTTTCCATGCCATCTCTTCTGTCAATTCCTTATTGTTCTTTTCTGTATTTTCCATGATTACACTGCATAAGATTCAGATGTAGATTAAGGTATCAAAATGTGGCTACATAGAGGTGCTTCAACTTCCGTTCCACCTGAGAGAGACCTCGCTAGTGGAGTCTGGAGAGTATTTTGACTCACCCTGATACGAACGCCGAATTTGGCCAACTTCATCACTCTCCAGCTACCACTGACGCCAGTCTCCGCTGACTGGGCTGGACTCAGGGAATTTCTCATTTACATGGAGGGATTTGGATCCCACCACATGAGACCAGATTTTGTACATTTTGATGGCAATATTATGTCATATAATTTCCAGTGGTTTACATCATTGCTGACAGAAAGCTCACTGGAATAAGGAACATTTTGGTGTTTCGAGTGCTGACTTTGTAAAATTAACACTTTATGAGAAGTCATTTTGTTGTTGTATCTACAGCAGTTTCTGTGATTAAATAGACCTTTTATCATAAATCACCATAACTTTTGCCCCTTGCCAAGGGGTTAATGAGCAACGTCTTGAAAGAAGGCATTTTTTCCCTTCTATGTGATACTTTGTGACACCAACCCCCAAACCTCATCACATTTAGCAGAAGCCAGACAGACTTCATCATATAGTTGGGTTATGCACAATATTCAGGATCCTCAAACTTGATTTAAGTTGCAGATGCCCAAAGAGAATTATCCACCTGCCATCACATTCAGTGTGCTTTCAGGTTGACTGTGATTAGTTTGAAGCACTGGAAGAGTTTACCATGAAAACAGCATTTTATTCCGATAAAACAAAGGCTTCGGCATTTAACAAAATTTGAAGCACAGCGTCCAAAGGAAAATACAAAAGCAATAAGAGGATGATTTAGAATTGTGTGAGCTACATACAATGCTGCTCACAGATCCTGTTAGTTCAGGAGTTACCAAATCACAGTTACAACCATGTATTGACAGTAGGGTGACGTAGGCCGTGTTCCAGGTCTGTGAAGCCCATAGATCTAAAATATACGAATACACCTATGTATACACTAGAGCTAAAACATTCAAACAAAATTTTGCTTAATCTGATTCTTTGTCTGTCTTTAGGCCAATTTGCGCCGCAAATTAACTCGTGCCATGCAGACTGATCTCAGCCATATGAGAAGAGAGAACTCCACCCAAGTGTACTTGCCAAAAGATGTTAGCACCCAGACTAAGCGTGACAACTCAAGCAATGTACCCAGACCACAGATTTTCTTGGAAGGTCTCCGAGGAGGATCATCTCTTACTACTCACATGGTCAAAATAGACTTAACAAGAGCAGCAGACGAAACCTAAGTGAAAATGAGAAACCTAAAGATCTATATTGAATGTATTTATAAAAATCTCTGCATATATCTGAATTAAGATACACAAAATTTTCCTGTGTCTGTTGATTCCAGGAGCAGTTATCTTGTCTGTTGGGGCTGCTGACTGTCATTAAGTGATAGAAATTATTACCCTGAAACACCACATTTTAAACAGCAGTTTAGAATCAAGATGATCCCAAAGACTTTAACTTAAACTGAAGTTTAAACATGTAGTGTGTGTTCTGGGATTTTCTTGTTATAACAGTGACTGCTTGCTGAAACACTGTCCTTAAGAGCCATGTCTTTGGTACATGAAAAGGATAATGTGAGACAAATAGCTTTTATGAGATACAGAGCCAATGCTGCAGCTCCTATGGAGGCATTATTCCCATTGGTGTGAAATAAAACTAATCCCAAGAGAGTCACTCGAATGTCAGAGCTCCATCCTTAGAGCAGAATCGTCATGAAGGTAAAACCAGCAAAATCATAGAGAATCATAGAATGGTTAGGGTTGGAAGGGACCTCAAAGATCATCTAGTTCCAACCCCCCTGCCATGGGCAGGGAAATCCTCCACTACACTAGATTGCCCAAAGCCTCATCCAACCTGGCCTTGAACACCTCCAAAATGTGATCAGTCTGGGTCCTTGGGCCTGTCCCTTGTGCTGTTGTTAATCCAAGGGTCTTTGCACGATAATGGGCGTTAGGAGTGTAGGCTAAGGCAGGGAGGTCGAGAGGAGAGAATCTGTCTTGGATGGCTCTGGCAGCCTTTTAGGTCTCCAGTAATTTCTGTATTCATCAGCTCAAGAGTGTGCTGGTGAGCACGCTGGAAACCACAGGAACGCGACTTAGGGACACCTTTTTGAAAGCTCTGTTTACTTGTGTTTGAAAGACTAAAGCACAACAGGAAAAGGTTTTCAGCTTTTTGTGGCAGCGAAGTATGTGCCAGGTCTGATCAACGCAACTGCAGCTAGAATTTCTGTCTGTGAAAACCTGCACCAGTGGAGCTTTAAGATGAAACATCTTCTCAAACAGAAGTGAGGAGTACTTTGAAACAGTCTTTTCACAACAACAAAGAGTTATTATCTGCAAAATGTCCAGGTGTGCAACTGTGATTGCATAGGGTGTGCTGGGGTTTCTAAGTCTCTTTTTTGGTCAGGTGCGGCATGGTGCATCATGGTTTCCTGGGTCATCATTCTACAGGCTTGTGAATGGGAGCAATAAGGGGATAAAGGGGCTCTTGCGATTTTTCTGTGGCATTGTGCAGGGTAGTGTTCTCTTTCTGTTTAGCTGTCTCCAAGGCTTCACTTTTTAAAAGTTATATAACTGGGACAAATCCACAAGGCATTACAGCAAAAAAAAAGGACCAGGAGAGGAGCGCAGAAAAGAGTTAAAAGTAGTTTCCAGAAGGTGATTTTCTCTTTTGTAAAAAACTAATCAGTAGCAACCAGATGTGGTGCTCGTCCATGTTTTTCGGTGATTAGCTGGCACCAATTTTTACATTTATTAATAAAAAGCATGAATGCTGTTACCAGCTGCAGCTTTTTCTTATTCAGCGAAAACACCCTGCTGCTGCTTAATGAAATACTTTTTGTTGCTGTCATCTCCATGTATTTTTATCATCGGTTGCTTTGAATCTTTAATGTTAAAAGTTCTTACTTTGAACCAACAAAGTGGTATTTTAAGAATATATAAATACATTTATTTAAAAGAAAACTGATGAGTGACAGTCCCTTTTGTCCCACTTGCTCTTTTCTTTTCCATTTGGAGAAGCTACTGCAGTATTATAAAATACTAGGGAATACAACTGTAATCTACACTTCAGTTTTGACACCGCAGAAACATGTCAGTACCTAAGCACAATAAGAAATACACACGTGTGACTCCTGGGTGTTTAGTACCAATAAAATAGTTAAAAAAAAAAATAAATAAAATGAGAGGTTACTTTTCCAAACGGCTTTATTATCATAGAATCATCGAATCATAGAATGGTTAGGGTTAGGGTTGGAAGGGACCTCAAAGATCATCTAGTTCCAAACCCCCTGCCATGGGCAGGGAAATCCTCCACTACACCAGGTTGCCCAAAGCCTCATCCAACCTGGCCTTGAACACTTCCAGGGATGGGGCATCCACAACTTTTCTAGGCAACATGTGGAAGAGGAGACGACGTTCAGGTGATGCCACTTGAGCTTGAGTTTTTCTTTGTTTTGATCTGGTTCTCGGGTTCTGCCGGAGCCCTGGTGAGCACACTCACTCACACTCGTGTTGGCGAGACTCGGCAACGCCCAGCCGGCCTCGCCGCCAGGGGCTGGGTAGCAAAGCACGTGCCATTCTCAGGCTGCAAGGTTATCCAAAGGGTGGCTCATCCCAGCACACCGGCGTCCTTCGCATTTACAGCTGGTTTGGGACCTTTTTCCTTGAATTCCTTAAGCTTTACTCAACAATTTGCGGGCACCAATACAGCCACCAAAAGGCGCTGGGGGTTTTGTGACTGTGTTGCTGCACACATTAAAGCATCGCTCCGGTTACGATTTTTTTTTTTTTTCTTATTTACGG